CCCCAAAACCCCAAAACCCCAAAACCCCAAAACCCCTCACCTAATTATTCGTATTGAAAATATATGATTATAATTTATTAACAAAAATGGGATGAACAGGAACTAAAGCGAATGTAAAACTCACTGCTACCCTACTTCACCCCAATAAAAATTCAATATTTTACTAACCCACACCTATTCAGACCTATACAACAAATTTGCTTTTTAAAATTGATTTAAAACAGACAATTCTCCCAAAATAAACCAAAAACAAAGCATGAATACTTTTTACAGATATCTTCATTCTTAAAACTCAATTTAAACTTCGTTCTAGATTAATAAATATGAAGAAGAATATTACAACAACGGCAAGAAGATTGGCAAAAACAAGAATACCAAAAATAAAGGCAAAAACGGATTGAACAGTGGACAAAGCGATAGCCAAGATTTTCATGGTTCAGACCGAAACCATCAGTCTGATGGCAACAAGTTAATCAAGGAAGAGCAGAAACAGAAGAATAATAATGGAAGGAATAAAGAGAAAGGATTTAGACAAAGTTCAAGCTCAGAAGATGAACACTCAAATGGATTCCCTGAAGAAAATTTAAAACTTGATAAATAAAAAGACCGGGACAGTAGTTAAGAAGAATCCAAGTGAGGTGTTGGCCGAAGAACAAGGTAAGACTCTATTTTTATTTGTAAGAATGGAAACTCACCTAAAATATAGAATTCATGCGCATGTTCAAAAGGTATAAATATCTTGTTTATTTGCAAAATTTGATATATAGGCCTATGTTTGATACAAAAGTCTTTGGATTGTTCAATTCAGACCAGTTTAACCACTGATTCTTGAATTCTGTAATTCAAGTTTTGTGGAACATTGACAGCATTCAAGAGTTCTTGATAAAGTTTTCGAAAATAAGGACAGATTATGATAATGTACTGATTGAGAATTTCAAACTGTTCATACAAAATATCGATAACGAACCTTTACAAAATTACATGGATGAAGATAACCCAATTGATTTTGATGTCACCGGAATTCGAGAGAGCTTAAACCAACTTTACAAAGATACTAAATAAATTTTAATCTTGAAGAGAAGTGCGACGCACCAGAAGCATACGAAGCTCTGGTCACTAACATTTACGAAAATGTAGAAGATTCCAAAGAGATAGGAGGAGAGTTTGAAGACCTTGTTGATACTAAATTTGACGTAAACAATTCTTATATTTATGCAAATGAACTTCTCTCCCCAATAGTGCTTACTAAAGAAGACGCATTCAAAGATATTGAGCATATCAAATATGATCTAATAAAGTAACAGGAGATCTGTTAAGTTTAGATATCTCAAAAATTATTACGATCTACTCAAATCCAAAGATAAAAACACAAGAGACAGAAGGTAATTCTTTTATTTATTTAAGATTAAATTCACTCTATAGAAAGCAACCATATGAACCAGATTCAGATTCAAATTCAGACGAAGGTTATGGTAATATTCCCACTTGTTATGATCTAGTACCTCAGGCAACGAAGTTGCTAATCCTTAATTTTGCATGGGGAGAGAAGAATGCAGATGATATAACCAAAATGCTCAGGTAATTTAAAACCTAAATTAATCAGCTTAATCCCAAATACTTTCAAATTTAATGAACTCTATCCTGATGGTGCTAAAGTAACTTATGGATTCAAAGGAATGGTATGATACTGGGGAAGTCACTATTTTACTTATATCTACAAAGAGAACCAGTGGGTTCAAATGAATGATACTTACATCACAAGTACTCTTTAAACTAATGTGTAGTCGAACCATCATGGTCAAGCATTATAGAAAATTGAGTTCAAGGAACCATCTTACCTATCATGCTATTATTTGAGAGATGTGACTCTAAAAATGAGGTTAAGAAAGCCAAATCTAATATAAAATTAATGACTGAATATTTAGGTAACAACTTGTTCTAACTCAATAGTGGGAGTTCTATATCCACATAACAAAGTAGATCACAACAATTTTGGCAATTTTGATGATCCCATTAGTCCATATGGGCATAATGACCCTTATACTGTTGGATATCAAGGTACAATATTTAGTGATTAATTATAGAAACTCCATTTGAAGGAGAAACAGACGATGAATGGTCCTGCCAAAGATGAACAACTTTAAACAAGATCACAAACTACACATGCATCTCCTGAGGATTTAAGAATTGGACTATAAAAGACCTAAAATATCAAAGAAGATTAGCAATGATGGGGTATAACCAATATTGTCCAAACTGTAAGAAATTTTATACAGGTTCCTTCTGTTCGAATTGAGAGGAAAGAGTATTGCTCTACAATGGGGATTTGACCCAAAGAGAAAATAACTATTATGGATATTAAATTCTGAATTCAATGAGTTATTGTTAGATTGGGGTTTTGGGGTTTTGGGGTTTTGGGGTTTTGGGG